AAAGTGCCGTTCAGTTGACCGATCTCTTGATGGCTATGCTACAAGCAATACTTCTAAAGGGTAATGTTTCTCTTTTTACTTTCATCCCCTCAATACATTCTCTTAAAACTGGGACAAGTCATATAAGCATTCAAATTGGAGCTCTCTCCAGCAAAATAGGAAGTGCTGTCACCGATTCAGTGTAGCACCCCTCTCCCTCTCTGGTTGGGTCCTAAGCCTGCGTCTTGCCTAGCCTGGTGGTGTTATGCAATTGCTCTTTTTAAGAGATGCACAAAACGGAAACCCTGGCTATTCATAGCCAACTTAGGAGGAGCTGAAATTGTTCAAGAAGTTTCTTGCCCAATACCATTTTGCTGGTAGAGATGCATTTCTGAGCAAACCCACTTAGTCTGGCTTTCAGATAGAGGTTATTTTAAAGAGTTGACTGTGACTTTTGTTTCCATCCAGGGTGGTGATGATATTCGAGGAGGAGAAAAGCATTGCCTGAATAGAGTCTAAGTGGTTTTCAGGCTTTGTGTTAGAAGAAGCTTCCATGGAAATACAAGACGAGGGGAGGGATCTCCCCCCAGGAGACCTGATTGCCATTGTCCTGTAAGGAGGCAGATCAGTTACAGAGATTCACTGCAGAGGAGGGAGTGAGAGAGATGCCCAGGGCTGGCGAGAAGCAGGCTAGAGCAGGGTGCCCATGGGCACAGTTCCCAGGTGGATTCCTGGACAAATGGCTTTATTGGCTGGGGCAGGCTGACAGGGCGTGGCTTGGCTGCCCTGGTGCTCCTCACAATATATGACTTGCAGCATTTCAGCCATTTCCAAAGCTGAGAGCTGGCAGGGAGAGCACATTGTATCCATCTGTCAGGATCTCTAAGAGGTGTCTTTTCATGCCCCCCCTGAGGTCAGAAGCACTGAAACTGCAAACAGTGAGAAGCCTCGACTGTATTATTGATGCTGCTGAGTCTTTCTCTCTCTCTCTCTCTCTCTCTAGTCTCCTTTCTCTCTTGGGATTGTTGCTACCTAATTTTGCCTCCATTGTGTTTCTTTGTTTCTCATATGCGGTACATAGCATAGTATAGGCAGGTATAGACTATGAAACAGGGAATAAGTAGTCGATATTCTGGAGCAGGGGTAAAATTCTCCCCTTCCTGTCCCTGAGACCAGCTCTTTACTCTCAGCCACCACCACATCCCATCTGCCAGGCAAGGCTGTTATGCTGAACAAGTTTCAGGGAAGCTTCCAGGCGAAGATGTACTAGGAAGAAAGGCCTGGGGTCAGCCAATGAAAATCATGCAAGACTAAAGCTGTCCAATCTTCACACACAAGCTGACTGTGAGTGGGTGCTGACACTAGGGCAGTTAACAATAACAAATCCTGGAGAAGTTGGCCCAGGTGGTTTGGTGTTGATTTGTTTTTCCTTTGCCTTGTTGTGTGCCATTGAGTTGCCTGGGACACATAGTGACCCTCTGCACAATAGCTCTGAATCCTCCCTTATCCTGAGCCAATCTCACTGTCTCCGAAACATTTACCCCTATTACCCTAGTTACTGTATCAATCCATTTTATCCAGGGTCTTCCTCTCTTGCACTGTCCCCCCACCTTTCCAAGCATGATGTCCTCATCCAAGGACTGGCCCCTCCTGGACACGTGCCCAAAGCATGTGAGACAGAGTCTTAAAATTCTTGCCTCCAAGGAGCAGCTTGGTTTCACCCTCTCTAGGACAAGCAGTCTGCGGTATATTCAATAATATTCTTCTCCAACACCACAACTCAAAGACATTGATTCTTCTTGTGTCGCCCTTAGTCATTATGATTATGCAGCTCTCAGATGCATAGCAAGTAACTGCAAAGACCATGGCCTGGATCAGGTGTACCTAGTGGGAGCATAAAACTTAAAAATTACACCAGAGAAATGTGATCTAAACTCTCTTGTGTTTCTGTGACAGAAAGCTAGCCTGAGGCTGGGGAAAGAGGGCTAAGAGGGGAGTATTTATTTCCTACACTCTGTTCCTAGCTGTTGACAATAGGAATTTGTAAAGCCTTGTGGCTTGTTCACGGAGCTCTAGTGGAGCAGTGGTTAAAGTACCTGGTTGTTGTTGTTGTTATTTGCCGTTGAGTTGCTTGCGACTCATAGCGACCCTGTGTACAACAGCCCTAAACTCTGCTCTGTCTTGTGCCAATCGCACTGTCTCTGACTCTCCCATCCCGACTATCCCAGTCACTGAGTCAATCCACCTCATAGAGGGCCTTCCCCTCCTGCGCTGTCCCTCCACCCTCCCAAGCATGATGTCCTTCTCCAAGGACCTGTCTCTCCTCACAACATGTCCAAAGTATGTTAGACGGAGCCTCAGAATCCTTGCCTCCAAGCACCTGGTTACTAAGTGAAAAATTGCCAGCTCTAGCCTACCAGCCACTCTGTGATACAAAGACGGAGCAGTCGGCTTCGGTAAAGCTTTACAGCCTCAGAAACGGGCTGAAGCCGTTCTACTCTGCCCTGCAGTGTTGGGAGAACTCAGAATCTTGAGTGACTTGAATGATGTCACCACCAGCATCCCCCCCCACCCCCATCCTGAACCTCTCACTCCCTCCAAACACCATCGGAACAGATTTTCCCCTTCACAAGTGGAAATAGAATGAAATCGCATTTTTCTCCGGCATGATCTTATGAAGAGTGGGCCTGTTTAATTGCATGTTTTGAGCTGAAATTAAATTCATACACTGGGGCGCTGTGTGTATGTGGTGGGCTTCGCTGCATTGGCTGCCCCCTGGAGGCAGTGATGGGAAGTACCGCTCTCCAGAAAGTCCTTTTTCTCAGGCTTCTGTCCAGTCAGGGCCCTGCATGCAAACCTATCTGAGTCACGTGCAACATGCGAAGAACTTCCTGAGCTCAAGGTCAGATGCGGAGCATGCCTTCCCTACTTTTTTCCCTCTCTAATTTATGTGACTTTCTAATATGTTTCCCATTTGCCCTCCCCTCATTTCCATCTTGCTTTTTAAGGTAAATTTGCATAGAAATGGGATCTTGGTGTGCAGGCCCATTCACCTGACACTTGCTCTCTTGAGGTGACCACTGTCTATACTCGATACAGTGAGGGTGACCCACAGGAGCCCCCGCTCCCGTCAGACTGGAGGCGAGGCCTTAATTAGGCTCAGCTGTGCATATGAAAGTAATGGGGTGATCAGAGTCAGTGCAGGCCATTGGCATTAGGAAGAAGGGCAGAGGCGTCCTTCCCACTGAGAGGGTCGTTCTAGGGCACAACAATTTGAATTTGCCTTAGATGGACAGATCTTGAAGAAAATGCAGGGGGAAATGTTTTTCTTTGATTTGGAGATAAATCAGGGCTCTGGGAGTTTAACAATGACATTTTAATTTGGCTCCTGAATTTTTTTTTTCTCCTTTATATTTATCTTTGGTGATACTCACCTCTCCAAATTACCTTTGGAAGGCCCAGCAAATGTGGAAAATCGGAGAAGAAGGGCCCTGCCTATCTCCACAGCTACAGCCGGCTGTAATCCCCTCATCCAACCCCCACACCTGCCCGAGGGCTGCCACGCTCCACGTCTTGTCCACTTGGGCAGAAATTCTTGCTGTGAGGGCCAGGGCGGTCCCAGGCAGCTGGTGATTGAAAGTTTATTAGGTTTGAGAGTTACTTGTAAACTCAACGAAGGGGGTTGGAGCTTAGGGAAATTTTGAAAACTGTCCACAGCTGTGTGCAGGACAGTGACCTGACAGGAAACTGGCTGCACTGAGAACAGGATTATCATGGTCACGGAGCATAAGCACCCAGTTTCAATGAGAAAAGTTTGTAGGAGATGCCAGGGACCGGAAGTCAGCTAGGGCTGCCTTTGACCAGGCTGCCTTGGCTGGGGGTGGACTATGTTTATGAAAATGATTTCTTTTTAAATGACATTTTTTTTTAATTGTAGAATGTTTTCTATCAAGTCTTTAATTTCATCTCATGACCTTGCTGGATGAATATTACTATTCCCTTTTAGACAAATGAGGACACTGGCACCTCAGGGAGTTTAATTACTTGCCCAGGATCAGACAGCTGTTCTACTACAAACCAGGCTCCTACCCAGCTTTCCATCATACTGCTCTGTTTCAAGTCGCTATGGGGTCGACCCTAAATTACAGAGGACCACAGAGTTTTCAGAACCAATATTTTTCAGTAGTTTGCAAGAACTTTCTTCCCATATGTCTCTGAATGGTCTCGAACCTTCAACCTTTCAGTTAGTAGCCAAGTCTTAACCATTTGCTTCACCAGGAGCTCCCACTACATGCCCAGTGTCTCCTGCAAACAACTCTACTTGGTATTTGCTGTAAGCCACAGGCTGGTTCATGTCCCTCTCTACACAGCCACATGTTAGAGCAGGGTCTGGTCATTTTTACTCAATTCAGAACTATTCAAATAAAAAATGCCCAAAGGCCTTTGGCTTCACTAAAATGATAAAAATAAGGACTCTCAACCCCAAGCCCAGGATGCATTCCAGTCTCGCAGAAGGCTGCTCAGCTCCCCACTGGCCAAGGCTGTCTAATTCTCCTAAATGATTCAGATGTAAACGAGAAAATGGCATCTGTCTAATTAACACTGCCTGGTTAAATATAGCTGCCAAGGGACGGCCTCAGGACGGTGTTTACAGAACAGTCTCTCCAGCCTCTCAGGCGGCCTGTTAGAGACGATAGTGAGTCTTCCATCCTTATCAACCGGAAACAGATGCCCCAGAAACGGGACGGGCAGGGATAGGCACGAGAGATGAAAAGAAGCCTGTGACTGGGCTGCAGTTCCTGTCCGGGCACCTGGGGATTCTGACCCCTGGAAGCAGACCCTCCAGCCTCACCAGCTCCTGCAAACAAAGGCCCTCGTGGTTGGCCTGTGTCTCCCTCTGCAGTGAGACAGCTGACCACTCCCCTCCGACGTGCTAAGGCTCAGCGCCTTCTCTCGGCCTTTCTCCTGCAGGACCCACACGCAATGACCACGCTCTTTCTCTTCCAGCTTCCCGTGACCCCATGGAGGCCATCGCCAAGTTTGATTTCACTGCGTCCGGTGAGGACGAGCTGAGCTTCCACACCGGGGATGTTCTGAAGGTAGGTGAAGTGAGGCCCAGGGGGACCATGGGGAGTTTCAATGACTTGAGTTTGGCCCCGGAGCTAGTCTAACAATCTATGCCTGTGTCTCCTATGAACCACACTCGTTTCCTTTTCAACAGCGTTGGGCGCTTGTGGAAGTTAGCCTCCATCAAAGGGTTCCTTGGAAACACCTGTGGGTCAGATGCTAGGCTGGGTGATGAAACGCAAAGGTGGCAGAGATATAAGGAAGCCAGCATCCTTATCTCGAGATGCTCGTGGTCTGGAAGGAGGAAATGGCTCTGCAAAGGGCTGTTAGAGGTGCTGTTATCTTAGCGCTCAGAAAGCACAGGTGGGAGCACATAAGAGCCCCTCCCTTGAACGTGTGGCAATGTCAGCCTCGGGTGTAGTGCAGATGAGAGGGGCTTTCTGGATGGATTCGCCAGGCCGGGCGGTGGGATGTTGTTAACAATAACACGAAGCAAACAGCACAAGCTAAAGCAGGGTGGTGTGCACGTTCATTCTGAATCAGGGGCACAGTGAGTTTCTGCCTGGGAACTTATTAGCTGAGGATATAGGTGGCAATACTTGGGAAAGGCGGCTGGAAGAGGTGGCTCAACAAAGGCCAACAAAGGTATACTCAGGGCATCTTGAACTTGACTTCAGCCTGCACTTGAGTTGCGGAGGCCACTTGTTGAGTTGGAGAGGGCTTGTCCTCCCATATTTCACGTACTACACTCAGGAACTTTATCTCTTCATCCTTTGGCTTTGCAAAAGAGCTACAGCCTCCAAGAGCCCACGAGGGCATATCCGATGCCTTGTCCCACTGCCCAGCTTGAAGCCACCTATGGATCTTCTGAACCCTCGTCTTGGCAGCCCACCAGGGCCTACTCAGACTGCCCAGTGACTCTGAGGCCACCAGGGTCTCACCAGGCAGAGTTACATTTGCTGTTGGGAGAACCTGCATGGTTTGTGAAAGGCGAGTCCATGCAGAGAGTGTCTGGAGCACCGACCGTGTGGAACGACTTGTGTTGGAATTTGAATGCCCCTGATATTTACTCTTCTAACTTCTCTCATCCTGCAACGTGTTTGCAGAGAGAGCTTGCCTTCTCTGAGGTCTAAGTGGTGGCTGGGCTGCCGATGCCGCAAGGAAAGGAGGGTCCCCCTTCTCTGGGGTTACACCAGCACCACTGAGGAATTAGTCACGTGCTGAGGAGTCCTTTCCCTTCCTGCTGGACTCTGTGGCCACGTGATAGTCAACCCCTTGTAGAACAGGCTCGGCACTAGCAAGCTGGGGACCAATCCTACTATTTCTCTTCCTCTACAGATAGAACCTGTTACCTTCAGTTTTCCCTATTTCTCTAAAAAAGAAATATCTGTTCAACACCGACTCCCACCCCAGCTCCTAGCTGCTTTCCTCTGTGGCTCTGCCAGTACTTGGAAGGATTAATTACCTGAGGCCTCCTCTTCCCACTTCCATGCACCCCCACAGTCCTCTGCAAACAAAACATTATCCCAATGTGTTCTTTAAGTCCACCAGTCATCAATAATGAAGGCTCTCTGGTGGCACCATGGATAAAGTATTGGACCGCTAACTAAAAGATCAGCATTTCAAACTCAACAGGCGCTCCAAGGTAGAAAGATGAGGCAGCCTGCTTCCGAGAAGGTTTCCAGCCTTGGACACCACGTGGAGCAGGTCTCCGCTGTCCTGCAGGGCCACTGTGACGGGGTAATGATGGAACGGCAGTGGGCTTTGGATGAGGTGTCCCTCGCCTTTAATGCTGCTGCCCTTCCTCAGCTCTCTTCCCACTTCCTGACAATATTAGGCCTCTTCCTCTCTTTATCCTGAAATAGAAACTTCTGTGCAGGAACTGCCCTTGGCCTTCCAAGCGTGGCCTCTCTCTGAGTCAGCTCATCCACTTCTGTGACTACAACTCTCGGCTCAGTGCCAAAGACCCTCAAGTCCATGGTTCTGTCTCAAACTCACCTCTCTCTCTAGAACCCTGCATCCAAATTCAGTCACCACGTGAATAACAGCTCTGCAATACAGATGTCCTATCTGATGACAGAGCCTTCCTCCCAAGCTCAGTGGAAGAAAGGCTGACAGATGAACTCCCATAAAGATAAAAACAAAACAAAACAAAAAAACCCTTCAAATTCATTGCTGTCAAGTTTGGACCAACTCATAGTTGACCCTCCAGTGGGTTTCAGAGGCTGTAAATTGCACAGGAGAGATAGCCCGTCTTTCTCCCGCAGAGCAGCTGGTGGATTTGAAGCAAGCACTTCTGGGTGGACAGTGCAGCTCCTTTACCCATGAGGCCAGCAGAGCACCCTCTGTAAAGATTACAGCCTAGGAACATCCTATGGGATTGTTCAATTCTGTCACATGGAATCATTATGAGTCAAAACTCGACAGTATCTAATTGTGTGTGTGTGTGTGTGTGTGTGTGTGTGAAAGAGAGTGTGAGGGGGAAAGGGAAGAAGAGGGAGAGAG